TAAAATGCTCCATTTTCACTTTCTCTGAACTTAGAGATAGCCTGCACCCCTAGTGAACTATCTTTTTCAGATTAAAGCTAGCCATACGTGTTCTGTGCAGTGAAACTCGTGTTTAGTCAAATACTTTTACTTTTCACAGAAAAATTTAGTCAAAAAGTACGACCCTTATTAATATTTTCCAATTTCGCAGATACGATTTCGCACATGTGCTAAGGTCGAATCCACATATGTTTTTGGGTATAGGTAGTATGCGACCTATACTACTTTGCTGCGTAGACCGAAATATGACGCCTGTAAAATGCTTTTACTAAAAAGTTTTTACTTTCTTACTGTTCTTTCCCAAAGAGAAAGAAAAGGAAAGTATGATATAACTTTCTTTTGTGTTTTTCTTAATTGCAGAAAGCACTTCGAAGCAAAACCAGGCACATGTTCATGATCAGCGTCGAAAACTGAACCGAGTAGTGTGTTTTGTGGGAAAAAAATACTCTCGGAAAGTTTTCGCGAGACACATCACTCGTTTCAGTTTTCGGCGCTGATTATGAATATGAGCCTGATTTTGCTTCGAAGTGCTTTCTGTATAAAGAAAAACACAAAAGAAAGTTATATCATACTTTCCTTTCCTTTCCTTTTGGGAAGGAACAGTAAGAAAGTAAAAACTTTCCTTTTCCAAAAGAAAGGAAAGTCAGTTTTTACTTGTCCTTCTTTGGGAAAGAAATGAGAAAGTGCCATCCTGGGTTTGATGATTAGCATACCAGCTGGTAAACCAGGCGTCGAATGAGGCCTTCGAAAATTGGCGTCGACATTTGACTATGGACAAGTGGAATACGTCGAATTATGTTGTTTCGTTCATTCATCGAAATGGGCAACTGGTCAAACATGACTTTGTCGTACATGTGTTAAATGATCATTTTCATCTGCCGGTTAAAGGAGACATCGAGGGACTAGATAGTATTCGCGATCTTTTTGAGGATTTCGAGCCATAACATTTGCTTGTTGCACATAACATGTGAACACGTGCGTAAAACACACAAGAAAAGAAAGTTGATGAGCGGTAACTGGTGTGGTCATCGATAGATGAAAAAATCAAGATCTATCGAGCCGATAGCTCTAAAATTTTTGCCACAGCTACTCGGTAACCGGGTCTGTTGGAGAAAAAAATTTGATTGGTCAACTCTTTATAGAAGCTGAAAAGCAAAAAAATCGGTGCTAAATTAGTTTTGCTTATCCAGACAATGAAGTGGTCATATCTCAACAACGAAGGCTGGTGGGCCTGAACTATTTTGAGTTCTTTCAGCTCTCGTCGAGGTCTATTTGTGGCCAAAAGATGGGCTCAAAAATTCTACTCTCAGCCAAGATCTGATCATTTGTGAGTTTTTATTCAGGTTCATTTAATCAAACAAAATTCGAACAACTGCCTAATGAAATAATAGTCGAAACATTTGACTATTTGGAAGGCACAGATTTGTTATTTGCATTTAATAATATTAATTATCGTACTAATAAACTTTTACAGTCATACTATCGTTATCGTTTCAATTTTCAACATATAAAAAAATCAAAGTTTGATCGTATTTTACAACAACAAAAACAACAACAAATAAAATCAGAACAAATTCAATCATTAACTTTAGTTGAAGGTGACGATACTTGTGGACAACTTACGTTACTTTTATCGTTATCATTAATTGAATATTACTATGAACATCTTCAATCATTATCATTATATTATATGAATAACGATCAAATAGAATTTATATTACCAAATTTATATTTGTTTCAAAAATTAACTCATATCAACGTTCACACACCACCAGGTTCAGTAAATGGTACTGAAGAATGGCTAGTTGAACCTCAAATTATATCAAGTAATATTACTTATAAATATAATCAATTGAAATTACAAGTCTTAACAACATCGTTTTCGACATCATCAACTATTGAATATTTAACAATCGATCATTACGATATTCATCAATTAGAACAATTGTTTTAAGATCATCCATCTAGAATGTGCAGTACGAGTAGGGAGGCAGTAGAGAAATACCGGTCAAAGCGTAGAACGATCGATCACTTTTGGATATTCGAGTTCTTCTCAATAACAGCATCATTGTTTTAGACTATTGACTGAATTTTTCTAAAATTTATTCAAAAATGATTTAATGAAATGTCAGATAAAAAGACTAATCGAATTAATCATTTCTTCCACAAAACTACAGCATATTGAGCTAAAGAAACTTGATCGCATTTGTGTGATGTCTATTTTGCTGTGATGTGGTGCACTCTTCTTAAAACTGGCAGCTCTGAATGGACTAAACGGCCTGTCCACGTAACTCGGGACTTCGCTGATCAAGTTTTTGAAAAAATTATTTTAGAATAGAACTGAAAGGAGCATATCACTAGATGCAGTTTTTGGCGCTGATTACGAATCTCACATTAATTT